TGTGTGTGTGTGTGTGTGTGTTTGCATGTCTAATTCCAATATGAACAACAAAATTACAAAAACTAGTTCTTAACTATAAAAAAAATACAATTTAAATAAATGAATAAAGATTTCTCGTTTCTGACTGAGCAATGAAACGAATATCAGGACTGACTGAAATTAATTCAAGGATTCAGCCAGGATTACAAGAATGTTTTTTTACTTTTGCATTACTACTAATTAATAATTACTTAAACGTTATTGTATACCAATAATGCATTTAATTTACATTCATTTAGATGAKCTCTTGATGTACATCTTTGTTTTTATTTTTTGTCAAGAACAATTGGTTTTCCCCTTATCTGCTTTATAAGTTTGTGCATTTTTAAAAATCTCAATAAAGATTAATAAAATATAACAATTTTTTTAACAATCCTATCAATGTTTTGTTAAGCGTAATTATTGCTGTGATTTCTTTAACAGTTATACGAATATCCATAGGGACTGATTTGTCCATCACTGAAGGACAAAACAGACATTACTGGGGTCTTATAACGCACAAACACTCAGATCTAATACGTAACACAAGAGGTAGCGTAATCTGCAAATAAACAATCATGAACAGAACAAAAACACCAACTATATTTCAAAATGTTTATTGAACTGAACATTGAGAGAATCAGCTCACTGAAAGAAACAAAAACTGATTTATTTTCACAGGAAAAAAAAGCCCAACTGCTTGAACATTCTGCATCAAATCAAAAGTTAAAACTGAGTATTTAACTCCAGCTTTAGAGATAAACGATCACTTCTTCTACTATGATACTGGAAATAATCAGGAGGGATGTTTTTCTGTAGGCAAGACCAGGTTAAAGAAAGAAAATAACTGAAGGCATGCTACATAATGTTCTGGATACAGCTGTCAGCTTTATTGTGATCATTGATGAATACGTTTAGCTGTTTTTTTTAATAGAGGCATTGCTTTTGGATGATAATTACAGTAAAAAATAAACATCAAGCAAAAATGTCCACAGATTAGCTCAAAGTTATGCAAACCAACACTGTGGTGTTAGGATCTCTGTTAGAAGGATGGTTGAAGGATACCATTTAAATACATTTTATCTGAAAATTTTAATGATTATGTAAAAATCCACATCAACAATCCAACAATTCTCCTCTTACAGCAAGTTGGGCTCTGAAGCTGTAGGAATTCCTTTACTGCATCAAGACACGTGAGAAAACACCGGGAGGCTCTTTTCCATCACCCAAAGCTGCCCGGAAGCCTTCCTGTCGTCGAGCATATGCAATTTTTGCAAGTGACTGGAAAGTCCGAGGTTCTGTGATGGCCAGTTCGCTGAGGATACGGCGGTTGAGCTTAATGCTACTCTGTAAGGAGGGGAAGAATGAGCAGAATGAGGTGACAGCTTATACACCACAGTGACCGGTGCAGAGCAGAAACACTCAATAACACTCACCCTTGTGAGGTTTGCTACGAGGGTGCAATACTTCATAGCGTGCTCTTGTGATGCTGCTGCGATGCGAGTAACCCACAGCTGGAAAACAAATAGCTTCACTTAGTTATATGCAGGAGAGGTCAAAGTTGCTCAATATATGGTGCACATTATTATAACACAATTTCTTCCTCTTTGTTACAAATCACTGGAAATGTCTGTATTCATTAAATGGGTCTTGGTATTTATAGTATTCTGAGGCTCTATTTTCGTGATATTCATTTAGATATAAATCAGACTCCACACCAAGGACATGTGATCCTTTAGCTCCTTTAATCAATGAAAATATAAGCATGGTTAAACCTCACCCTGAACACCACACAGGTCTTCGTGGCTGTAATCAAACCATAACATTAGGGTCTTACCATCTTCATGTTACGTTTTTTAAGCCTTCGAGCCTTGGTAGCGTTCACAAACGCCCTGGTGACAGCTTTCACAGCTAAAGAGTAGCAGCGATTCCGCCTCCCTCTGAAGTGCTGTTCAGGGAGAAGCGACAGGAAAATGTCAGCTACAAATTAGAGCTAAAGTAACTAGCCGAATGAAGTAGTCACAAAACATCACCACGCACCATAAAAAAATCAACATCAGTATTTAACCTTTGATAAGTTCGATTAAAAAAAACTCATCAATGCTAGAAATAGACGGAGCCCTCACCCGCGCATGTTTGAGAAGAGCCTGGACTTTAAAGTATCTGCATGGTCCACGGTTGCGGTTCCAACAGGACAAGGTTAGAAATACCATGTTGTCCTACCCGTCAGTCTATTCCACCAGAATGTATTTCGTTAGAAATAGAAACACTGGATTAAAAATGACTGCACTCGGAAGAGCCTGTTTGTATCATGCCGCTGCTTCTTCTTCTTCTTCTTTTGTTTAATGGCGGTAGGCAGCACGTCCCGCTGCTGCAGAAGGGCAGACAAAACGTGKGTTTGTTTTTATTCCCGCTTGTGCCAGAACAGGAAGAGAGAGAAAAAAAAACAGGAATTTGTAAGCGGTGTCATTCAACAAGACAAAGCTCTTTTAAAATCGGTTTACATTTATATAACGAGTAAACGAAAATTGTAAAGAATGTATAAAAAAACAAGTCAATCAGCCATTTTTAATGTATTATGGTCGGGACACATAGATCAACAAACCACGCGCTCCCTCAGGGACCGGTGACGCTGCCGCGTTGGATGCTGGGATAGCAGACAGTGGAGGTCAGAGAAGAGAAACGCAAGCTTAAAAATGTCACTTGCTAGTTTCACGTCCTTGAGCCGATGTGGTTTTTTGGCGTTTCGCTCCTCAGCGGGAGTTTTGGTAAGCTGTTTGTCGCATAAACAAACCAAACACTTTCCGTTTTGACTYCTGTACTGTCGCTGTACGTCACTCTGGAGAAACGCCACACTGTGACGGAATTCGTCTATGTTCTGGAGACTAGCTTTTCTGTAGCTGTTGTTAGCATTCCCCTTAGCTTTCAGTCTGTCTCAGTTGAAGTTAGAGCGCTTTAAACTGCACGTTTTTATTGTGTAATTTAATTTATTTAGAGGTTGACGTTGCTCTGCCATTTTAAGCCATAAGAAGTTACGTTYTGAAAATAAAATGTTTCATTGGGTTTTGAAAATAACTTAGCTCGTTAGCTAATACAGAAAACTTCAGTGTGTGGTTATAAATCAAGGACACAGTGACTGTCTAATCTTTGTTGGTTTGATCTCTTGAACACTGACTCAGGCGGTCAGGTACGCCCAGACAGCTGCAGCTCCAGCTGTTCAGCCCAGGATAAAGAAGTTTCAGGTGTACAGATGGGACCCAGACACACCAGGAGATAAACCCCATATGCAGACATACGAGATTGACCTCAACACGTAAGTGCTCCATCTTATTTATTTATTTGCCTTTTTTTGTTAAATTGAGCAGCCCCATCCATTATCTGCTTGTTGTGGAGGCAGCAGACTGTAGGGAGATCCAGACATCGTTTTCCACAGCCACCTCTTCAGGCTCTTCTGYAAGGACTTTAACGTGCTCCCAGGCAGCCAAGAGACATTATTTCATCAGACTGTCCCGGGTCTTCCCTGGCGTCTCCTCCCAGTCTGACATGCCTCTTCACTACAACAGATCGGCACTGATCCGTCTGTCTAATCTCACTTTCCATTCTTCCTTCACTCATGAACAAAACCCTGAGATACAAACTCCTCCACTGGAGACCACACCTCACTCCTAACGTAGAGATCAGTCAGTGTTTTCATGATTGAGGACCTTGGCCTTAGATTTGGAGGTGCTGATTCTGATCACAAGATCCCATCCACTGAGCAGTTCTCACAASTTGCCCTCATTTAAACTAAAGTCTCAACTTAGTCTTTATTTYTAACTTTGAACAACAGACAAACAATAGAAAACATCAAAGACATTTTTAGGCCATTAATGTGTCAGTGAACCTGGGTTTTAATTCAGTTAATCTGTTATTTGGTGTGACCTTTTTTTTGGTGGCAACTTTATTTTTATCCAGGCAATGTATTTACAGTATTACATAATACTTGCATAACTCCATACAGCATTATTTTCATGCAATGTATTAAAAATAATATTAGATTTCCATTGCATGTGTAGTTGTTGCRTCTTTTTTAAATCTTCTGTTATAGTTTTCCCGATGTATTGTTTTAATTATGAGTTAGTTATTACATCTGCATTTACTTGAGCTGCACACCAGACCTTGTTGCTCCGTACAGTTGAGTGGATTGACAAAGTCTGTTCTACCTGTAAATAGTTGCCGGCAAAATATCACAACTAGTAGATGAGATGAGGATGAATGCAGTGTTCTCTGTAAGGAGACATGTTAAAACACTTGATCACATGATAAGAAGATTGCCAAACTTTGGTCTCTTGTGTCATGATCTATTAACAGTGTCATGAGTTTTGTCTCTTTCTGGATGTGTATTTGCGTATCGAGAAAAAAAATGTAATTTTCTTGATCTAGCTGTGGTCCAATGGTTCTTGATGCCCTCATCAAGATTAAAAATGAGATGGATGCCACTCTGACCTTCCGCCGCTCCTGCAGAGAAGGTCAGTTTTATATAAGTGCAATTATTAAAGAAATTCTCTGCATTCAAGTCATTTCTGTCACTGAAATGMGTTTTTTCTCTTCAGATTGTTGCAGAGTTTGTCCTAAATGCTACTGTTGTTTTGCATCAATCAGGTATTTGTGGATCTTGTGCCATGAACATAAATGGAGGAAACACACTCGCCTGTCTCAACAAGATTGATCCTGACCTGAGCAAGCCCACTAAGATTTACCCTCTACCACACATGTACGTGGTCAAGGACCTGGTGCCTGTGAGTAAAACTTCATGAATTACGAGTCAACACAAGTAGCTTTGTTTATGGTTGGATTATCTGGAGTTATATGTGTTMGTTTACGTGTGGAAAGTTTGAAAGACTTACTTGGATTGTGTTTGTTGTGTTGCGTTGACAGGACATGAGTAACTTCTACGCTCAGTACAAATCTATTGAACCGTACCTGAAGAAGAYAGACGAGTCAAACGAAGGGAAGGAGCAGTACCTGCAGTCTGTGGAGGACCGACAGAAGCTGGTGCSGCACCAACGACTAAAACTATCAGTGTTTGAGGATAACTGAGGTCGATGAACTCCCTGTGTGTTGTTTCTTGTGCAGGACGGCCTGTATGAGTGTATTCTGTGCGCCTGCTGCAGCACCAGCTGTCCGAGCTACTGGTGGAACGGAGACAAATACCTCGGGCCTGCTGTGCTCATGCAGGTATGTTTAAAACCTACACAACACGGYTTTGTTTTCTTCTTTTTGGGTCCAGAACATGGTCTTGTACCTGAGTAACGTATGTCGTTGTGTTTCAGGCGTACCGTTGGATGATCGACTCAAGAGACGAGTTCACAGAGGAACGTCTGTCCAAACTGCAGGACCCTTTCTCCCTTTARCGCTGCCACACCATCATGAACTGCACCAGGACCTGTCCCAAGGTGACCTGAACAGTCATAGCTGTTTGCTTTATTTCTGACTTACAGGAACAGACTGTGTGCACAGATTGTATCAATAGTTTCTTGCTTATTCCAGGATTGCAAATTTATTTATGTACGAATTTGCAGCTGATGAGGAATGTTTATATGGTATAGATGATGATGAATATGACTAAAATTTGGACTTAAAACTTTTAATTTGAAAATTTTTACATCTGAAATTAGACACTGAGCTCAGGACAACTAAACATAACAATAATAAGTCTTCAGTTTTCATTTGCAGGTATTCAGGAATCAACAATAATGAATTCCCAAAATATTAAACTGGAATTAGATAGAAATAAAACCACTGAGCTTCTTCAGGATGTTGATTCAGAAAACTCAAACTTTAGTACAAAGATGTTTGCTGCCTTATATCCTCTTTTAGTACAGTTTACCTGCTCTGGTTCTTGTTGTTTGTAAGCATGGATGATGTTCCCCTCAGTGAGCATTTATCTMTTTTTTCTGTCTGTCTCTGCTCTCAGGGGCTGAACCCAGGAAAGGCGATAGCTGAGATCAAGAAGATGATGGCCACGTACAAGGAGAAGAAGGCAGCGGCTGTTTGAAACACTCTGARGTCTTCTCATCAAACTCTAAAGTTTAAATTATTTGTTGATTTTTAAAATGCTCCTTGAGGTCTGATGGGCCTGAGCGTCTGTCCTCTTCAACACCGCACGTTTCTGACAGCAGAGACCGCTGTTAGAGCTGCCATCAGAAGACTGGGTGTCACACAGTGCAGGACTACAGAATGAATGCTGGAGAGGTGTGTGTGTCTGTGCGTGTCTGTGTCAGTTTTACCTAAACTACCAGAGGTTTTATCTCCAACTCTACTGTGTGGATGTTTGGACTCTTGGAAGACATTTTGCTTCACAGTAAAGTAAAAATGAGGCTTTTTGTTTTTGTGTGAGGAAAATTTGTCAGCTTCTTATTTGTTATTTGTCTCACAGCCGAACTGTTTAAATATTCCTCRAGAATAAACAACACTTATTGTTTCGATGGGAAATAAGTAACTAAAATGTCTTTAGCTGTTTTCATTTGCCGTTTATCCGTCATCTGCTAATATTCTCTGGATGATTCATTGACCACCAGATGTCACTGTTGTACAGGGATTTAGTTGCAAAAGTTTTAGTACATTTATCAAAACTTTTAAGAGGATTTTGTTCATTTGTTTTTTTATTGGACAAACTCATATTGGTAAATCAAAAAGTAAAAAGTTGCAATTAAAGGATTTTGAGATGAATTGCATTTATTTTATGAAAACATACAGAAGGAACAGTTACGTAGAGATTTACTGMGATTATTTATCTGGCATGGATTTAAATTGTTCAAATAAGCTAACCATCTGTTTTACACCTAATTATTGTTTTACATAAAGGGGAATACAAAAAGTTGAGTGTCATATAATTCAAAATCAAAGATGGACTGATTAAACATTATTTTTCGAGAAAACCAAAGATTAGAAGAAGCAGGAAGCAGAATGTGACCTGTTTATTCTTAACAGCTCCTAATGTCTCTTACCAAAAGATTGATAATGGTTTACACAAGATCATTGATGCTTTGTTTTTAAAAACAATTATAACCTTCAAATGTTCCTTAAAGAGTTTTATTTGTTAAATCTGTGAGGTAATGTTCATTGAAGGCAATTTCTAAAAAAATAAAATAAAAAAAGCTTTATAAGGAACACAATATTTACTAAAATTTAACTAACCTGAACTTACTAGCTCATTGTCTTGCTGAAATGTCCAGCCACGTTTCATCTTCATCATCCTGGTAGATGGAAGCAGATTTTTATCAAGAATGTCTCTGTACATTTTTCCACTCATCCTTCCCTCAATTATTTGAAGTTTGCCAGTACCATATGCTGAAAAACAGCCCCACACCATGATGTTCCCACCTCCAAACTTCACTGTTGGTATGGTGTTTTTGGGCTGATGTGCAGTGCCATTTGACCTCCAAACATGATGTGTATTCTGGCATCCAAACAGTTCAATGTTGGTCTCATCTGACCAGACTATATTCTCCCAGTATTACACAGGCTTGTCTAAATGTTGTGCAGCAAACTTTAAAGGAGCTTCAACATGCTGTTTCTTCAGCAGTGGAGTCTTGCGTGGTGAGCGTGCATACAGGCCATGGTGGTTCAGTGCATTACTTATTGTTTTCTTTGAAACAAWCGTACCTGCTAATTCCAGGTCTTTCTGAAGCTCTCCACAAGTGGTCCTTGGCTCTTGGACAACTCTTCTGATAATTCTTTTCACTCCTCTGTCAGAAATCTTGCGAGGAGCACCTGGTCGTGGTCGGTTTATGGTGAAATAATGTTCTTTCCACTTCTGAATTATGGCCCCAACAGTGCTCACTGGAACCTTCAGAAGTTTAGACATTCTTCTGTAACCGATGCCATCATTATGCTTTGCAACAATAAGGTTGTGAAGGTCTTGAGAGAGCTCTTTACTTTTACCCATCATCAGATGTTTCTTGTGTGATACCTGGCCATCATRTGGGACTGAACCAGCTGATATTAATTTGCACTGACAAGGGGCAGGCTTGRTTTCTAATTACTGAGAGAGTTCAGCTGGTGTCTTGGCTTTCCATGCCTTTTTACACCTCCCTTTCTTCATGTGTTCAATACTTTTTCCCCGTGCCATTCCACATTATTACAAATAACTTCATTTCTGGARATTTATGGTTTGATTTCTTTGTATGTATGGATCACTTGGGTTGTTACCAACATCTGGTGAAAATTTCATGTCATTAGCACCTCTAGTAATATATTTACTGAGAAAAATAGTGARGTGTTCAATACTTATTTTACCCGCTGTATWTATATATTTCCTTGAGATAAATAAACAGAACAGACATCACAAACMTTGCTTTTAGGATGAGGTTTTCAAAGTATTTTCACACATTTGTTTAGTTTTCCATCCATCTCTAGTTACACAGTGAGTTGGGGGCTGGTTCTGTTGGGACGAGGGGGTGCTGCTGGTGGAGGAGGAGACTGCAGATGCAGGGAGGTACAATGTGGCGCTGCAGGATCCTCCTTCATTCACAGGACACATCAGAGCTGGTGGAGGTCACAGCTAATTGAGTCAAACATTAGGTAAGATATTTAAGAAAAAACCTGGTTGAGTTCATCTGATTTTTTAAAATTTAATTTAATTTGCATATTACTGGTTTTAATTACATCAGAGTTGGGATTAAAAAAAGTCATGCACAGATCGTGAGCTTTTAAAGAAGATTAACGTAGATTAAAGAAAATGAGTGTTTATGTTAACGCGTGTTGACATGTGGAGCTGTGTTTGGAGGAGGAAAAGGAGCTCACAGTGAAGCCTGCAGAGAAGGAAAACTCCAGTGAAAAAGAAGAAATCTCCTCCTTCCTGGGGGTTAATGAGGCCTCATGGCAAGATGGTTTAGATCAGCTCTTTTTATTGTTCTCTTTTAAACAGAAATAGACTCCTTAAAGACAAATGGATGACAGCAGAGCATCTCTTGTTTCTGTCCCCAGAGTGTTTGTGTGTTTGAAGGGTCCCTGTGACCTAAAAGGGAAGTTTGGACGGGGAGAGTTAGAGGAGGGGGGGCTAATCGCTCCCAGATGTTTGCTATGAAAAGCATATGGTTTCCAATAGTCACTGTGATGTACATGACGAATGGTGTGTGTGTGTGTGTGTGTGTGTTGTGCTGCTGCAGACAGAAACACATTTATTCATCCAAGCTGTGTTACAGACTCCATGTGTAAAAAAAACACCAAATCACAGCTGAATGTTGTCTGTTTTGGCTCAAGTTTTTCCAGCWAAAGTTGAAACAAATTGGGTTAAAAATAAGACTCATAATGAACGTTAGAATGGAAATAAATAAATAAATAGATTTACTTTTTGCAACGTTCTGCCCACATGCCATTTATAACTGAACACAGGAGTGGAACAAAGAAAATGAGTGTGTGTGTGGGGGGGGGGGGTGGAGGAAATGACCAGAGAGAGGGACAGAAGGGAAATGAAGGATGCAGAGACAAAGGAGGGAGGGATGAAGAAAGCTCACTGGACAAGAGGAGGAGGAGTAGGGGGTGGGGGTCTAAGTGGTCTTCTGTTTCCTTTCCTGGAATGCAGCGTCCACACCGTCTGCTGCAGTGAGGAAAAAGTAGGGAAAAACCCCAACGAGATTGTTSTTCATCTGTGTCACATTCTTGCTGCTGGTTTTTTTCTTTTTCTTTTCTTTCCTCCCTCTGTTGCTCACTGAGGCCAGTGGGGGGAGGATGATGGGGTGAAGGAGGGCACAAGCAGTGGGGGGGAGGCAGAGAAGGTGATAGAGGGCAGGAGGGAAAGGGAGGAGYGAACCAAACCCAAAGAAGTACTTTCTTCCTTTTCATGTCAGTTCATCCTCAGGGTTAAAGTCAGCCTACCTTCCAGAGCGACCATGAGAGTCCTCCTACTGATCTGCATGCCAGGTAACTGCACCACAGTCCACACAAAAACTGTGAGGTACATCTGAACTTAGAGGCAGAAAACATCTCAYATAAGATGGGGCGGGCAACAAAAGGAGTAAAACATGTTATGAACAAGAAACAGCTGTGAGCAGGTCAGTGAATATAAAAAAGCTGAGGTGTAATATAGTACTTTGTTTCAGTACTTAAAATTTAAACTTTTACTTTGTTACGTTCAAAACATAAAAATTATATGTTTGCTTCTTTATTTTAAAACTGAACACCTAGTTACACACTACACACTTAAATATGAGGGAACTCATCATGAAAGGAATTGTTTATTCTTAACTTATTTAAGTAAATTCAACACTTATTGTTAGAGTGTACTTTTACTTTTCCACTTATTGTGAACATTTTAATTTTTACCAGTTACTTTCTGTTAATGCATTTTTACAATTAGATTAGATTAGATTAGATTAGATAGAACTTTATTGTCGTTTTAAAGAGCACAATGAAATTACAGTTCAGAACACCCATTCAGAAGAAGACAGAACATAACAAACATGGGAGAACAGYTGCTCTGGGTCATGCTCCCACTGACCCTGCGCAGAGCAAGMATCATCTTCATGAAGACATCATGAGAAGGGGCTACCCTCCTAAAAAAAAAACTAAAAATCGCACAAGGGAAGATGAGGGAAAAAACATCATATTATATCAACAATGAGACACACGGGGTTTATAAAAAAAACTCTGCATAGAGCACATTTATTAGCCAGAGGAGTAAGTAAGTTTAGGGGGGTGTGTTTCTGAAGCCATGAGTGTTGTATGCACTTGTGTGAATATCTGAAAAATGAGCCCGAAGAATCGAGTCCCCAAAACCCGCACAGCCATAGTCCAGAATATGGATTATTATACACCTTTGAAAAAAAGAGCATTTGGGGCTGAGTTAACATGACACTTTTTAACTTGTTCGCTGCCTTTTGGCTGATAAAAACAGTGTCTGTTTTCTCTGAAACTAAAGCTTTTTGAGTCCAGGTCTGGAATGTTTTTGGAAAATGCGAGTGCGCGTCACAAATGGCTGCAGTCAATCGTTTTTCTGCACGTTAATAAATAACAGCAGAATAATGGTGGTTAGCACAGTGCCGCTTGTGCTTCTCACTCTTTTCAGCATGTAGTATCAGGGCCAGCCGTCAATTTGGTGCCCTAAAGATTTCAGGTGGTGCCATCTCGTTACTACTGTATTTATTCATGTATAATACTAGAAATTTAACCCTAAAAATAATCCATAAAGTAAGGGGGTCGTATTATACACGGGTTATTGGTGATTAGATTTTTTATGCTTTTTAAGCTCAAAAATGATGATCGTATTATACTTGAGATCGTATTATACATAAATAAATACGGTAATTTATATACATTCACATACCAAATAAATAGTTTTGTATTTTATTCCACAGACTAAATCAATTATACTCTGATAAAAAAAGTCCTAAAGTATATATATTTTTCATTCCCACATTCGTGGCGCCCTCTATGGACGGCGCTCTCAGCATTTGCCTCCACTGCCTAAGTCACGGGCCGGCCCTGTAGGTTTGACCCAACCTCATCTTAGGTCCAACGTCATAGTTTTGGATGTTTATGAGCTTGAGGCTGACGTGTCTGTGCATTTCTACATGTCAATGAAATACAAAAATCCCGGCGCCAGCTAGTGACCTAGCCTGGCCTGGAGACTACGGCAGATTCAACAAACACAGCTGCGTCCATATAAACCTGTTTATTTTCCAGAATAAACATTAAAAAATCAGTAACATTTCCAGAGATGGTTCAAACAGAGAGGCTGAATCCTGATAGGCAGATGATCTCCTGTCCTGTCTCATGGTTCTGTTGTGAAAATGGGTTTATGAGATTTGGAAATAACTGGATTTTATTATTATTATTATTATTATTATTATTATTATTATTATTATTTTATTTTATTTTATTTTATTTTATTTTTTTACATTTTATACAACCTCACAACTTTTATGGAAGTGGTGTTGTATTTTAATTTTCCCCCCTGCAGCGTGGTACACAGATTAAAGAATAACTGCACGCTCTTTGCAGTTTAAAGCAAAAAAATTAAGAAAAGGTCACAGAGACATTTGATTGTTTTTAATTTCGTTATTGTTCCTTTTGAACTTTTGCAATGCATCTTTTAATAAAATTGAGCATCTTTATGGATATATTTGATCATTTCCTCAAAACATCTTTACATTCTTGATTGATTTAGTGTTTTAACGGCTCAACACTTTAGATAATCACTTGTGTGTGCTTCATTTTGCCTTTGAAAACTCAGAAACTGCCTCTTAACAGGACACTAAAAATTGGCTAAAATTTTTTTGTCAAAAAAAACAACAACAAATAAATAAATAAAGTGGCTAAACCTTAATTCCCAGAGAAATTAAAAATCTTTTTTAACGGCGCCAAAACAAAAAGCCAATTCGTTCTCATTACTGCCTTGACAGCTTGTTAATTTGTGTAACTTTCTTTGTCTGAAACCTCAACAGTTCTGCTGCTCGCCCAGTACCAGGACCCTGTTCCCTTCCTGGGTGAGTTTAAACATCTGTTCTCCATCACTCATCAGCCTCTGATGTGTCACGTAGCCTGAAGGAGCTGTTGTTGTTGTTTACCACACTCATAGCAGCAGTTTAATGATGTCGATAACTCTCTGTCCACTCTGCTTCTTATTAAATATAAATATCTTGGACATGAAGTCATAGATTCACAAACTGCATGACGTCGTTTTCAACATGAGGCTGTTTTCTGTTTATTTATTAAACTAAACATTGTTCCCTCCTGCTTCACAGATGACTATGATTACTCCTTCTCAGGTAAAGGATATATTATCAGTGGTTTTTAAAAAGTTGTGCTGAGTGTTTATATATCATATTGATCACATGTCCCTCCATACAGAGACCCCAAATCCTGAACCCCTTCCTAAGACCTACCAGCAGCAGGTTCAGCTCGACCCAGTGATCCGTCCAGGTAAACCTGACGAAGGCTCCACCTGTTGGCATCGTTACAGTTACTGGTTCACTCATCAAATTAAACACTGACTTGTGCCTGAAATCAGTTTTTTCTTTTGGATTTCAGAGCCGGAGTTTGAGACAGAGCCCACAGAGCCCGGCCCCCTCGGTAAGGAAGCTGCAGACCTAAAAACTACATAATTTGTCAGCTACTTTAACTAACCATGAAAATACTCAGGAAAACACATTACCAGTTATTTTAGTTTTGACTAGGACCTTGCCTGTTAGTTTAAATTAATTTCTATATTGGTGTCGACACAGCATTGGTTCAGCCTTTTTTGCTCCAATAATTCATAAATGAAGTGACTTAAGAAATGAACACATTTTTCAGATACTGGACAGAAATATAATGAGGAGAAAAGAGCCAAAAATGTACAGAAGCCTGGATAATTGTTACATTTTTATAGGACCTTTTAAAGTATGTCATCAAACTCAGGATTGAGTCTCAAATGGAGAACTAGGCAGCTATATGCATTGATTAAACCACTTGCAACAATTATATTTTGTCAAAATATGATGAATAAATACTTTCTCAATGGGTTGTTTCAATTAAATATCTAAAATATTCAATAATATTTGGAAGCACTTTTTTGAGCAGAAAAGACTTCAGTTTTTATATTTTCTCTGCAAGCTAGCAAAACTTTTTTCCTTTTCCAGCTAATAAATTTTAATGTAAATATTGCCAGTGTTAAAGTACCTCAAAGTGATACTTCAGTAAAAGTACAAGTATCTTATCATAAAACTACTTTGGTAAAAGTTAAAGTCTTCTCTAAAAATATTACTTGAGTAAAAGACTTAAACTATCTGATATTTTTTGTACTTAATTATCAAAAGTAAATTTCTTACACAAAAGTAAAAGTACTGAGTAAAAGTAAGCAGTTAGATTTTCCAAAATGACATTTACTGGGAGGTGACTTCTCCAAAAAATATATTTTCTAACGGCGTGCAGCTGTGATGGGTTGTGTACAAGCTAATACGGTGCCAGAATGGTATATATATTTATACTTCTCATCCAACTACAATTAAATTCACTCTATCCATGAGACACAATTTATCAGGATAGTTTTTTAAATAATAGCAACTTGGAATAAAATAGGAGTAACGACTTTATACTTCTTACCTTTTTAAAAATGTAGTGAGTAAAAAGTACAGATAACTGTGTAAAAATGTAATGAGTAAATGTAAAAAGTACGCTGAAAAATAATTACTTAAGTAAAGTACAGATAACCAAAATTTCTACTTAAGTACAGTAACAAAGTTTGTACTTAGTTAATTTATAACTCTGAATATTGCTTGAGGTTTCCTCTTTAAAACGACATAAAAAGACTGAACTAAAAGTAAGATTCAGACCAAATATCAATGAGCTCTCCTGATTTGGAAGACAAATCAAACCTGGAACCGCTCATGCTTTCAGGATAATTCATTAAAATCTAGCCTAAAAAGCAGAAATTTGAAAATATTTTTAGGTCATGTTGACCAAATATACGTTCTAAAATGCTTTGCATGAAATAAAATACCACACGTAACAGACTGATAAACACAACTAAATAAGAACAACTGAGATGAAAGAAACAAAGGTGGTAAAACAACACAAAAACCTTTTGGCAGGTTTTTACTTCAGTTGTGATCACAGTTTGGGGTCATAGAAACTTACAGAACCTTTGTGTTCTCAGACAAGAGCCAGGGTCAATTAGAACTTCTTAATTAGGAGATCTGATGGGTTTAGAAAATCTCCAAGAAGTTAAAAGTTCACAGATGTGAGCAGGAGCCGGATCTATTTTATAGAGGAGGAGGCTCTTAAATAGACTCSTGATATAAGAACAAAACGTAAGGTTATGAACATAACCATGGTTCCTTGAAGGAATGGAACGAAGTACAACACACAGTTGTATGTGGGACACGCGCCTGGCTGAAGCCACCTCTAATCACGTCTTTAGGCCGGTGACGTGGTGACGTTGAACGTCGGGTGACAGGCTCCGCCTTCACCCTATAAGTTCGGAGTCACCAGKGTCATTATTCAGTTAGATACCGCCCTTCACCGAGCCTTTGTGATGTGCCTTTGTGATACCCCTTTAAAAAGGGCCCAAGATGTCGCTACACCCCTGGTGGAGTGAGCTTTAACTCAAAGAGGGATTGGAAGGTTTTTGCTGCTATATGCTAGCAAGATGGCCTCTACAATCCAGTGAGAGAGTCTTTGTCTAGAAAGAGCTTTACCTCTGTGTGGGTTAGCAACAGCCACAAACAGCTGATCACATGACCTTACATCCTGTGTGCGGCTGATGTAAGTGCGTAGAGCACGTACGGGGCACAGAAGATGCAGCCTCTTTTGCTCCTCCGGGGTGAAAGCTGGAAAGCTCTATAGACATAGAGCT